TTCGACAATGTTGCGTAATGTACCACGGAGAGAGACTGCGTCGTCGGCTTGCCCGACCGGCTCGACCGAGCTCGCCCGACCAGGCGATTCACGGCGATGAACGTCGCGAGCATCTGAGTGATCAGCGGGGGAATCGCGCGATTGAGGGGAGAGAAGATGGTATCCCGCGCAATCTTGGCTACGCGCGGATGGACTACGTAAGCTGATCTAAGCAGATAGACAGATATATAAAATGAATAAGCAGCCTTTGTCTTTCATAGGTCCCCTGCGATGATGTTTGGAGTCGTCATTTCGTCGACAAGAGCCACTCAAATCATAAATCCGCGAGTCGCGAGCAAAGAGTGAAACGCGAACGAAAAGTGATACTAACTCGATGGCAAAAAGGGCCCTTTCCTCCCTCTCACCCCTTCTGTCATTAGCGGAAACTCTCGTTCTCGCTGTTTTGTTTATTTCAAAGACTTAGTCTTAATTGCGCTTATCGATTGCCGCGGCGAAGGGAACAAGGTCCTCCTTTCTTGTCATTCCATCCCTCTCCCTCCCCCTAGCGTCCCTCCTTTCTCTTACGCTCGCTCAGTCACACGCTCCGCCTCTTATCACTGAACAACGGCGAGCCTCTTCCATCGCCGCCACCGCCGCCGCCGCCACCGCCGCTTTTTTCTCTTTACTCGCTGCACATCCTTCTGCCTGGCGCATTGTCCCACGTTGAAGTGCACTCCGCTCGCAGCTGCAACGTCGTTCTTGCGCGACTCGTCGGCGAGCGCCGCTCGGCAAATTGGCGAGTCCGGCGCATTTCAGCTTCACTCCAGACGAATCTCTTCGGGATTGTTGATCGAGTTGGACCAACAATTCCGTTAAAGCGAGAGTGCGAGAGGATCTTTTACGGGAGCGAATGTATTTATTTATCCGTAATCGCATACTACAGACATAATTTATTTACACTTTTCTCTCGCCATCGTGTCTTCCAACGGTCGAGAATCGTTTTTAAGAAAATTTCAATATATCGAGCCTCCCTCTTTACGGTTCTAAGCTCTTCTCTGCAGCGGCAGCGCTGCGGCGCGGAATTGGGAAGTTTTAATTACCCCGCGACCCCGTACTTACGGGTTAATCGGCCCGGGGAACACCAGCGGCTTTATAGTCCCCGGGAAGTTTGGTCCGCCCGCGGACATTAAACGCGGCGTTTCCAATTACGCCGCGTGCATCTCGCGTCTCGTCGGTGTGCGGCCGGGTCGACGTGTGCACGCGCGTGCAAACCTCTCTCTCTCTCTCTCGCTCTCCCTCCCTCCCTCTCCGGTGATCCGTTCGGAGTTTCGCAAGCCCGGCGGTCGTTAACCTTACGCGAAAATGGATAAGACGGTTCGGTTCTGGCAACGTCGCCGCTGTACCTATAGAGACGCGCCCCGGCAATACGTATATATATATGTATACCGGAGCATACGTATAAGTGCACCATTAAAAGGTGTCGCGCGGTACAGGGCGTTTCAGACGTCGCGAGTGCGGAGACTGGGTGGCCCCCGCGGGAAACGCGCCCCGGGTTCCTTTACGACGCGCGTGTTCTGAAACAATAGTAACTCGCGGCAGGGTATATAGAGCTCAAAAGGGGAATATATTTGTATTCCAGCTGGGTAAACGTTAACGCGCGCAACACGTTAATAAACCAATAAACGCTCTAACGGCGTTGTTTAAACTTTGCGCGAGATGCGCGTTACGCCGACCGCGCCTATAATCACTCTCCTCCTATAAGCTTCGACATATGACGAAGCGTGTATAATAAGATAATCGGCCTTGTAACGAGATTATCACTGCGCGCGACGCGCTACTGGCTCTCCTAAGGTGGCACGATGGCGACAAGAGACAATTATCTTTTAAACGCGCGCGATCGTCGCGACGGTTAGGCTAACGGTAAAAGATGCATCCTATTACTAGCCAACGAGTGGAAAATAACACCGCTATCGGCTATAAGTTACAACTTGCTCCAGTTTAAAGTCGTTATTAAAGATCCCCTCCCCGCTCGCAACGAGGCGCGACAGATAAGGCTAGGTGCACGATAAAACGCGACGAACGTATCAATTATTGCGCTCTATATTAATTCTCGAAATGTAGTCACGTTGTAATCTATGCCGATCGTCATCGCCGCTGATCGGATCAACATTACTCGCTTTTTGCGTTTGTAATTTATCTCGGCGATCAGATTGTTGTTAATAAGTGATTTGCAATAATCCTTCGATCAAGGCAAATGCGGTATCCAGTGAGGTCTCAAATGAGATACGACGATTTTACGAAAGGTGACTTAAATGTCGACAGTATGTTGAATTATGAATTATGTTAGAAGGCGAGGGAACAAACGGACAACGTAGTTAATATTGATGATCAAATAAACGAGGCTATTCAGAGAAGATTTACCTACTCCGTGGAACCGCGCGACGACTTTATCGCGCGCGACCAAGAGGCTCGCATATACAGGGTGTTCATAAAGTATCGGACCCCCCCTCTATCGTCAGATAGCCAGGGTAAGTTTATTTCCTTAAAGTTTTGTATTTAAAGTTTTTTTTATCCAGTTAGTATTTTCTGAGATAGAGGGGGGGTCCGATACTTTATGAACACCCTGTATATACAGCACGTTATTTTTCATTCACGTTGCGACAATGTTGCACGACAGATTATGGCGGTATCTTACATGCGATCAACGTTCTCTGTACAATGTTCTCGCGATCCTTCCGTGTGAAATTATTGATTTGAGTCGGTTCAAACTAGAAAAAAAACCTTGGTCTCCAGAACACTTGCGCGCGATCTGACGTCACAATTTTGGGCAGTCGACGTATCGCCTTTCGACTTATTTGCATCGCGATTGCCAACGCGCTCGTTAACGACGACTTTCGAAAGTTCGCGGCCGTAGTTCTCTTTTTACAATATTACCGGCATAAATGACTTCATTCGCGTGACTCATCGTCTCGCGTCTAGCGTGCGGAGCGTATATGCCATAAGCCCGCGCATCGGTTGTTGTATATAGCCGCACGACGGTCACTGGAAAACCGCACGACGTGGAACAGGCACGATTTCGCGAGTTCTCGAAGCGCGACCAATCGGCAGTGTCGCTTTCCAAGCATCGCTGACGCTCGGCTGGAATCCTCTCCAGATGCTACTCCTGACTGTCAGATCTGACAGTTTTAAGCGGCCGATTGCACAAGAACCACTTTACGGGCGGTATTTTTACATTAACACTCGAGGGAACAGCGCGAGACAGGCTTGACAAGTCTGTAAAATTCAACAGGTTATTCGTCAATAACCAGCGTAAACAGACGTTGTTGCTCCGTGTTGCATGCTCAATAAAAATTATTATTTTCCGTGCTATCTAATATATTTTTATTCCTGGCGCGCGCGCGCGTTCTAAACGTCTGATGAAATTCGACTGATCGATACGTCATCGAGAGAACGCTTTTTTTTTCTCTCCCAATCGGAAACGAAATGAATTTCGTAACCGATCGAATCGCTCGCCACATCACTCACGAGGGACACTTATTCGTCAGAGTGCAATAGCGCGCGTCACTTTACGATGAGTAATAGCGTAACGCAATTCTATATAACTCGGCATCGCCGGCGAGCAGGCTTCACGCTAACTGTGTGTACATACACGAGTAATAATTTTTCTCTTTATGAATATCAAGCGATTCGTTGAATTGTACTTTCATGTCTCACTGCAGGCCTCTTTTCCTCGTCGAGGGACAACTACGTCCGTATTGTATCCTAACGTCTGTCACGCGGTACGGCGTTCCTTGCAATTACGTGGTCATTGGCAGCGGATAATTACGTCACGAGAGACAGAAAGGCTTCGAAACGTACACCTATCTGACAAGGCGAGGCGGTTTCTAGTGTGAGAAATTCGTATTCCTCTGAATAAGCGAATTTACGTAACTCGTAGCAGCAAGGCGGTAAAACAAACGGCGGTGCGCGCGGCTATTTTACACAAATTCGTTTCGTGAATCTAGCACGGGAGAAAGTGTTGCCTCCGCTGACCGTTTCATTAGCATTGTACGGCGTGTGACGACACGTCAGCGCGGAGACTGTATATATGACTGCACGTTCCCAGCTCGCGCCGAGGAACGCCGACGGCTGTGCTCACGACAGCGCGATGTCTGCCTTCGTGATTCGATATTAAAGGAAAAGAACATGTATTTATGTGAAAGAACATTCGGCTTGTAATGCCGATCGACGGCTCGATGTCACTGATCAGGACACGATCCTGCCGTAGAGGGTTAAGGCCAAACCCGCGGCGATAGGTCTTCCGTGAAGGCTAATAGCGGCGGCGACAACGGCCGCCGCCGCCGCGATCTCCGGAGCGTTGCGAAATACCGTCGCGCAATCTCCCCGATAGCGGATCGAAATCGATCGGCCGGTATTTGAATTTCCACGGTTGCGCGGTTGCAATATAAAAACGCCGCATCGGCGGGCTTTGCTCGACTTTCACCCAGCTCCCCCCGGTGATTGCGAGCGATTTTTCTACGACGACCGCAGCTACCGGTCGGGCAAAGTCGAGCTTAAGGAAATGTCATGGCTGCGCAAATCTTGACCGACTTGATATCTCGCACGGTCGCGTGTTACGTCAGCGTGGATATACATCTAGGAAAGATATCGAATCGCGGCGCAAAAAACTTTTCCGAGTCGCAGTTACCTTCGTCGAGCGAGGCGACGAATTCTGCTATGTGCCGCGCGATCTCTCGTTCCAGAACTTTGAATATTTCCAGATTTTTCTTAGATAAATGAATTTTCCTGGTATCTCCGTATATAATATCATAATTTTTTTTCTTAAAGATCCAATGAACACTCCCTTCCGTCCTTCCTTATTGCTCTTTGTATTTCAAAATGTTCAAAATCAATCATATTATTAACAATCAGTGGCAAATAAAATAAATATTCTAAGAAAATATTGTTGAAAAAACTGGCCAAAATTTTCACGAGACTTATGGAAGATATTGACTAAATGTTATTTCTTTGTCTGCTTACAGATTTGACGATATGTTGATGAGAAGCGGCGAGGCGTCACGTCTGAAACCTACCATGTTGTTCTTAGAAACGACACCTGCTTCCGCCGGAGATCCGAGGGAAGAATCGCCGTTCGATTCCGAGACGAGTTTACCCCTTACGGTTCTCCCCGTGGAAGATGCGATTTACAGAGGAGAAGGCAACGCCAATATCGTTATCGCGCTGCCACACGTAAGTTAATTACATATTTTTCTTATTTTGTATATCGCGTCTCGAGTGTATCTACGTTTCGCTTAAAGATTAATTTTATTAAGTGTTTTGTTGGCTAAGAATTCGAAATATTCAAAGAACAAGCAAAACCTCTGTCGCGTTTCTTTTATTTGCTCACCGTTCTTTTACGCTTCGCCATACCTCCTCGTCGAGGAGCTCTTGAGAATCATTCTCTTGAAGATCTTCACGATTCCGCGACCAAGCGAGACAAAGCCTGGATAAACTTGGATTTTCTATTTTGCTCTCGTAAATTCCGCGAGAGTATTGTGTCCGTATTACGTGTCCGGTCTTTTTTTGATCCCATTACTAAATCATTGCATCGCGTTCGCAACTTCATTAGTCGAATTCTCTTTTCGGTATATCGTCGTTGATTTACGATTCAGCTTCTCTTACCTATTTGTTTCAAACGAGACGTTCGATACTTTTGCAATCGTCGCAGAGGTGTATTACGACAGAAGCAAAATTTTCTAGATTTCACGAATGAGAGTATCGCAACGACGGCGCGGTGTTTTACTTTTGCACACGTACACACGAGAATGCTATACACTTTTAAATGGATTAATTTCCTTAGGAAGCTTTGCAAGTGCGTGTATAAGTACAGTGTCGAGGAGAAAAACGGAGAAGCCCGTCTTAGGTGTATAACGCTTAATAGCTGTGCAACTGGCTAAGTGCTGTTTGCAGCAAATAGCGAATTGCATAAATGCAATGGAATTAAGATACAAATGCGCGAAAGAAAAACACGGGAACAGCTATACTCTACTATTGGCGCGCCGTAAAAAATACCAATCGCAGTTGAAAGAAGGAGGGCGTTTCGAGCCTCTCCCACGATAATCGATCGTACGAGTTGTCTCGTCAACAGATAAGGACGACACGCAATTTCTGCGCGTTGGTCTTCCACACCAAGAGTTCCGGGGAGAGTTATCCGTCGCGCGATAATAACTTCGCAAGAACAGCCTCGAGAAACAGAAAAACACGCTGGTTGTTAACGCGTTTGTTGTTAATAACGTAATCGTATAAAAAGAAAGAAAAAAAAAGATGAGAGATCCTCGCGTTCTCGGGCGCGTTGCGTCATTTCGCATCGCGAACATTTCTAACCTGCGGCAAAGAAATCCCGTAGACGATGATAGATGCGAAAACCTGCACGGAACAGGAGGAACCTGTACGAAGCACTCTTAAATTCTACGCGCGTGGCCTTATCCAACGCACTCTGTAATTAACGAATAATTAATAGCTGCATGACCAATCGAGAATTGTGTTTTAATAATAATGTATACGCGACAAAATCGCGTGTGCAGGAAGGAGGGGGGGGGGAGAACGCGCGTCGGCCGATCTCACGTGGGCGCAGCAGGGTGTGTTTCTTCGGGGACGCGGGGACAAACGATCCATAAGCATAAATAATTTCGTTTAATTGCCCGCGTCGTCTACCGCGCTCTCTTATCTCTGCCGTTTATTTATGCAGAACGCGTCATCGTCATCATCGTCGTCGTCGTCGTCGTCGTAGGAAATGAATTTTTCCACTTTGCGCGTCTTCTCAGGTGCGCAATTCGAGAGATCGGATATACGATCGGATCGCGATACGTCCGAACGAACGCGCCCGTCGTTTCCATTCGATGCACCGCGGACTTTATCGCTGATCGATAATAATTGCAAGCGCGTGCATGTGCCTGTGTGTACGTGTGTACCCGCCCAGCTTCTATGACCTGGACTGAATTACCGTTATCATCGTATATATACATATGTCGCAACGCGCGATGAACAGTCTCTCTCTCTAAAAAAAAAATTGTAATTATCGTATTGGAAAGACGCATTATATCGCAAATGTATTACGCAACCACGGGTGAATCACACAGTTTGTCCGATTCTTATCTCTTCGCGATTTGACTTGTCTTTACTTATGTTTATATACCGTGAACCCTCCAACGAATCAATCTCCAAATTTTAAGTAGAAAACTGAACGTTTGAAGCAGCGTCTAGACCGGAATTCAACTAATGCTTGTGCAATATGTTGACAATGCTAGCCGATTGAGTTTCTGCTACGTGATTTCTCCTGTCGCACGCGAACGATACTCGTGTCGCGCGCGGTCGCCGCGCACGTCGATGACAGCGATGCGTACACGCACACTTGGCGGCAGCGTAACTCCGGATCCCCGTTTCGCATCGTCGGCCGTCACCTCGTCGCGCTTGTCGGCGAGTTTGTCGAACTTGCACACACGGTCAGCTCCTGCAGTCGTGGCTGACAGTGTGGCGAATAAAAGAGAGTGGCTTGCATGGAGATCCGTTCTTTCGACGATCTCTTGTCGATATATCTTTAAAGTATCGACAATATCGGGCAATATCGAGAAAATACGTATCAGTACCACTGTCTTCAAAAATTTCAAAGAATGGAAAGCATTCTCTGCTTTGTGAGTAAGCGTTAAATAAGCGTAAGCATCGCTAATCGCAAATTTGTCTGGCTTGCGATGGTATAGGATGTACCGACTTCTTCCCCTTCTCTTTCTCTTCGTTTTCTTTCCTCTCCTTTCGTCACGTATTTCCTCTTCACGTAGCGACCTTAACCCGCGCGTTGAGTCATCCTCGCCGTGGATTTATAATTTTATTACGTGACTCGGCTGCATCGACTTCGCAGGGACTATCGGTGTTGCGAAGGGAGAGAACGAGCGTCGAATGAAAAAAGCATTGGAACGCCGCGAGCGCGGCGCTTCGAGACTCGAGACTCGGCTCGAAGGCTTTGGTCTTCGCTTAGCGTTTCGATACCGTTTATAAATGAAAGTGCAGTGTCCCTTTTTTTCTCATCCCTTCAATTCTCGATGGCTTTCTCGACTTGAAGACTGTCGATAGACATAATAACCGACGGTCCGTCGTGATTCTCGCGGTTCTCGGAAGGAGAGCTCTTGAGATATGTGTGTTCTGACCGACGTGCTGACCGTCCGTTCTCTCTCTCTCTCTCTCTCTCTCTCTCTCTCGAACGTATTGGTATACCGGGCGGAGAGTAAATTAAGCCGTTAACCGGCGACACCAGCTTCGCGGGAGCGAGAAACGTCATTACCCCGTTGATATATTCGCGAACGTTTCGTTATCTTCCTGCGTGCCGCCGTGTTTATCGGCATCGCCGGCTTTACGACGGCTCTAACGAGTCCGCGCGTTTGAATCGTTCTCCCGACTCGTTCTTCTTCCAACCCAACCTAGCACAATGTTAGTAACCTGGTTTCCTGGCGATAGCGCATATATACTGCTCGATACCCGCGGCCGCAGTACGTGCCACGTACGACCAGTTTTCCCAGTAATAGCAAAGGATCCCTTTCTCTCTCTCTCTCTCTCTGGTTGAACTGCATATACACGTGAGGAGATTCGGTGCGCAAAGCGCGAGTGTATAATTGAAATTTAGACGAAGGCTTTATCTTTCGAGGCAGTCTCGACAAGGGCATTACGAAAGGCTCATTCATCAGCGCCGAGGGGACTCTTCGTTCCGTTCGCATACCGCGAGTATGTATTTCAAGAACTTTATGATCACGCGATGTACGCGGCGACTTCGATCCAACGTTATCCTCCTCCTAAGCGCGATGCACGTTGTTGTTCGTTGAATCTCGCATCTCCGCGATTATCTCGGATCCTTCTCGTGATCACGGGGATTACGCTATTTTCTAAGTATACGCCGATACTCCCGACGTCTCTCATTGGCGGTTATACGCACGGCCAATGATACATCCTGGTCTACTAGCGCGGACCTTGACGTTACTGCAGTCCGGTATTTGTTTCGTGAAACGCTGGTTTTCTGTCCGCAATGGTACACGTATAAGGCAATCGTCGTGCCTTCGTATAACGCAGCTCTCTAATCAGCCAGAAATTGCAGCTCGATACGGCTGCGTGCGTATACGGCGAATTATCGTCGCGTCATTAGCAACGTCATTAGAATCAAGCAAATGGAAGGCTTATTCGATTCGATTCTTTATACTTGTCAGCTGGAAGAAAGTAGGTAACGGTGAGTCGGTCATTGTTTGATATTCAAGTGTCGCGATGCGATCGGAGGGTCGATACGTATCGATCGGATGTAAAACTCGCGCACCAATCCTATTCTTCCCGTCCGCTCCGTAATAACCGCTCAGGCCCGTCCGTCGCCCGGAGCTGCGTTCCCCCGCGCCCTCGCTCTTCAAGGTGCGGATAATTGCGCGCGGCCTATCTCTGCCTAATCAGTCATAGATCGCGGCCCGATGCGCGTGCACACGGCTCCGCACCAGCGATCGTCACGCCATTGGACGTGTTGCAGCTCGCCCGGAGGGAAGAGAACACTTGGGAGTGGGAGTGAGCGGAGGATATACATATATACGTATATATACGTATATGTGTATGTGTGTAGGAAAGGAAAGAAGAGGGTGTACGCGCAGAGAAGAGTGAGCGAGTGGGACCGCGGTAGCGAGTAACCACCACGAAGCGATTCTCCTTGCGCGCGAGAAGGAGACAGAGAGAAAGAGCGAGAGCGGCTTATGGGAGGCAAGGTTAAAGAGAGAGAAAGAGGGACCATTAACCGTTGGCCGTTGACCCCCCGGTTGACGCGGCGGGGATGTACGGGCGGGTGGTGGAAGAAAGGAGGGCACTGAAGTGGGGACCAGCCGACCGATCGATCCTCCGCGCGCCTCAGAACTCAGAACTGTGCTGGCGATCGCCAGGTGATGAATGGTCGGGCGTCGATCGATGGATGGCTTCGGAGCGATTTGTAATTAATACGCTTCCGCGGTTCTTCCGAGAGTTCCGGGGGTCGTCGACCCACCCTTACCCGTGTGTCCACCGCGGGCACACTCTCGCGGTATGAAATTCTCGGAGAAGATTAATCACTTATTTTTGTCCTCTTTGTTACAGCGGTTATTCTTCCCGATAATAAACATCGCCGTTCAATCTTTATTATTTCCCTCCTTGCCCCTCGCCCCCGCCGCTTTTTGCTGCCCTGCTCCTCTTCGCTGATGGTTTCCAACACGTCGTTTGGCTTGCGTGCAAGAACGCAGTCTGAGATCGAACTTTTCATCCTTTGCGTTTAGAAAACTGAAAACGATCGGGATGCGGTTGCTAAAATACAACCTCGATTTGTTCACGGCGAGATTGGTAATGGGGCTCGCCGATAACACCCGCGTTTAACCGCGAAACGCGTCGCGGCGCGACATTTTCGGCGGGGAATTAATGCGCTCGCGCGCATTATGCGGTGTAGCTGCAGGCGCGACGTCGTTCCGGCGTTGTTGAGGTCCCCGCGTGATCCCGTGTCCGATCTGTCGCGAGTGGACGGGAACGGGTCATGTTGAATTTAATGAGATCGTACGCGCGCTGGACACGGTTCGCCGAAGCGGGCATCCGGTCTCTCTTTCTCTCTCTGTCTCTCTCTCTCTCTCCCTCTTTCTCGGGCTGAATCGAAACGGATCGGCGTCGATATCGATTTCCTGCTCTATCGCTGTGTCCGGACAGACGCGCTTTCCGTCTGTGCGCTCCGGCGATGCGCAAGTTCCGATCTAATCCGGACAATCGCGCGACAGGCAGTTACGTCACTTTTACGATGTGTTTGTACGGTACCGCCGTTTGCACAACGGGAGATAGTTGACAAGGATATCCTCAGAAAGCGCTGAAAGCCGCGCATTGAGAGCAGCCGCGTATCGAACGCGATACAACGTGTGTGCATTTACAGGCTTGACCCGATAGTACGGCGTGTGTTATCCTTATCGGACTCGCACACACGGCCGTTCGCGACCGTGCAGTCACATTGTGTTGCGTAGAAAAAAAAGGATGTTATTTAGTCTCGGGGTCGCACTCGCGTTATACGTAGATTAACTATTAAAAACTACTCGCGTATAGAAATATTTACAGGCGGCTTTAATATAAGTGGCAGACACGTCGAGCGTTTCAACGAGGTCGAAACGCGGCCTCGTGATTGCTCGTGATCTCCTGTTTAATTTCGCTTACGCAACTGTAGAAGCGATTAGCATTTTTTACTGTGCCTTTGTCCCGGTCGAGATGTTGTTCTACTGCGGGCAATTAATTTAATTCGCGTTACGGATCGTTTGTCATTCAATCTTTGTATAGCGCGTGCGTCGCGAATCCATCATCGGCAAGGAAATTGTCAATTATCGCCGAAACTGCGCGAAATTAATGTCGCATTTAAATTTATCATCACATTTCTTTGCGATATTTTTATTTTTGGAAACCACATTAACAGCAATAGTGACATATAAACGATTTGCATTCTAATTCCATTAATCTCCATCACGGTTTTAATTCATATAATTTTATTGTACGAATTTCAATATGAAATATTAATCGCCTCGACTTATCAAAGTAATTTTTAGGCATGCCGTAATCGTGTGTATTTCCTCCGCGTGAAGATACTTTTGTAATTGGCAGATCTCGCGCGAAAAAAAGAAAAAAAAATGCGGCGCACGCAGGCAGGTATATACATACAGCCGCATTAATAGACGTGACGCATGAAAAACTTACAGCCACGTCAGCCGGCTTAGCCTATATATCGATTGGCCAGTTCACGCCGGGTCGCACGCTCTTGGGAGATTTGCCGAGAGGCGCGAGAAATTGAATGCTCCAAATTTCATTGTGTATTTTCACGCGGACGCGGCCGCGGCCGCGGCTACGCGACGCGACGCGCCGAACGCGTGTGTGAACCATGCGAATGTCGTTGTAAAACAATGCCGTATGTAATATGCAGTATATGCGCGCATATACGCTAAAAAGCTTAGGCGCTGCTCTATTTAACACGCTTTCCTGACAATCATATATTAATGGCGCTGCCTGGAAGGTTAATGAGATCCTTCATCAACTGAAATTAATTTTCCGTATATTATTTATGATTTTTATATGCGTAAAGCGTTCGTGTTTCCCTTTTTCGCTTCGACAACTGCCGCCTGCTGAATTATTACTAAACGACAAACTGAAACTCGACACAAGATGGCCCAATAATTTGTGTACGTTTCGAGAATTTCCGATTTTCCGATATCCCGTTATCCCTCTAAAAGTTTCTATTTTCTACTTAAAATTTGAAAGATAATCATTTTTGCAGCACATATTTACCTTTATATTGCATCACGCTATATGTGTCTCATATATCTATACATTTTTTTCTGACAAATTCATAGATTTGAAGATATAAACCTGATGGGAGCAACGGACGATTTCGATGTGTTTAACAACCTCGCAGCAGCTCTTAATATGTATATTTCCATCGAGCGTTTGAATTGTCCTTTTTTTTTTACAAGAGTAATTGTACATCGGCGTTGCTCACCTCTGGAGATCGCGACTGTAGTGGAATCGTTAATAGTTTGCACGAACATCGCGCAGCGAACGGTCAGCAAAGTGGAACGCGTAGCAACTGCCTGTCGAGCATTCACCGTACGTCATTATTGGGCCGACGGCCGATCGGGCGTTCATCTCCTGTCTTTTTACATGACAAAACGTCGGCCAGTTAGTAGCACGGCCGGTTTCCCGCATAGAAGCACGGGCGCACCCACCCGGGGTAATTAACGCCGTCCGTCATTTATTGCGATACTTTGAGAGTGATTAGAGCCCGCTGCGGAAATCGCAGCGAGCCACCGAACGAAAGATCGATCTTGTCGGCCTCGGCCGACGATCACTTTTCGACGTCGAATTGTCGCGAAGTAAGCTTGGAGCGCGATCAATTCGTTCGGGAAAGCGGCTAAATCGGATTTTCACGGGTTCGATACTCATCTAGAATCGTAATTAGGACGCGATCGTAGATCGAAATCGTAAAAACGGGCACGCAAGGTGTCCCGAATCGACGCTTAGTCATCGCTTCGTTCTTTTTCCATATACAAAGACTACCAAATTCGACACGGTTCGTAATGTTTGCCGATAAGCCGTGATCGAGCGTGTCGACCGCCATGCCGAAAATCACAGCGCATAATGCGCTACGCTTATTAAGTAACGGTTACGTTCGCCTGCTTCGTTCAAACCTTGCGAAATTGTTGCGAGTAATGACTGCCTTTCGAAATCCCGAAGGAGATTCGTCGACGGACACTTTCGCGTTGAAATAAAACTGCTGTATACATTCGGCCAAAGGTCTTGCACAGTTGACCGATTCGGAAATATCAATAAACTTATATTTATTATTGCGTTATTAATATTGCTTTACTTAATTGCGCTCCATTCAAGAGGTCCATCTCGTTTAAAGAATACAAGATGTTCTAGAACTGTCGATGCATTTTCCTCTCCATTGGAGATTGTGAGTAGACATACTCTCTAAAAATGAATCAGTGAAATCGTCACTGATTTTCAGTGTATGTCATTTTCCGGTGGCATGCTTAGAACTGTGATAAATAGTGACTATTTTAATGTTGTTTCAATGATAATATGCACAGTCACTAACAGTGAATATCACTGAAAGACAGTAAAGTTCTCAAAACTGTTTGACATTTAAACTATTATAAATTCACTGTCTTTCAGTGATATTCACTGTTTGAATCAGTGTACTGAAATAGTCACATCTAAGATATGCCACTGGAAAATGATATACACTGAAAATCAGTGATGATTCCACTGATTCACTTTTAGAGAGTATATAGTAAAAAGGAAACGAGGAAAAGTTAGAAAAAAAGACGATTACTCGAATATCGTGCCATCGTCGCCTTAACACTTATTGTCATCGAGCGGAAATTAGAGAGTCCGGGCGAATTAATTTTCGGAGTGTCCTAGAATCTTCGTTCATCGATTGGTAGCGTTCGTAAAGGCCGCGACACGACCAAGTCGCGCGCGTGCTTGGAAACAACGGCCGGGAGTGCAGAGCTCGGCCGTTATCTTTAACCCGAGAATTTTTCATAAAGTCGACCTACATACCCGCCTGGCTGCGGTGTCGCCAGGTTGGGAGGCATTGATCTGTTCGTGATAACGCGAGCCACCTTATACATATACTTGCAGGCGCATAGAAAATGCGGGATCGTTTGTTCGTCAGGCAGACCGAGACCGACGACGGAGGGAAAATAGCTTGCGAACGCCGCGTCCACCTTGAATCTTTTTTTACGCTCACGCGATTTTCCCCTTCGCATATGACTCTATAAATGGAACATAATTTCGCACGCAGTTGTTTGTTCGTAAGCGTAAGAACGTTGGAATTAAATCGTTCGATATTACGCGCCGTTATATTTAGAACTGACATATATTACCATTCGATTCGTTTGTCAAAAGATATTAAAGCGTTTCAGAAATATATGTATATAATACGGTCGTGGCGGCGCGGCGGCGTTTGGCTTTATTGAGTTTATTTTTTCGTTTCTTTCAGGAGCGCACGGTAATACGATTCCGGAAGTCGTTACCGGGCGAGGTTTCACCGGATGGCGGCAGAACACGCGTGCAACGGGAGGTGGGGTACGCCAGGAACGTGGTTTCCTGTTTTTTGGGCTCTTACGTGCAGATCCCCGAAATTGTTCGTTACGGTGCGGCCGATATAGCCAAATTGTCGGACGCCGTCCGCCCTCTCCGACCAGGTAAATTGTTTTCCCACACGTCAGAGATATCGCGCCGTGTTCCCTATCGCTCCTCCTCCATTTTCGCATGGAATATATGCAGGGATTCTCATCGAAATATTTATATATTTATATTCAATTTATTGTGTAGCCATGTAGTTATAGTTATTATTAGAAATGATTATGGAGAAACAATAAAAGGTAGAGCGTCAGCAATACTGTTGCTATAATTTCCATCCGAAAACAGAGAATGCGAAGAATAACGATGTAATACGATTACAATAAAGTATATACGATTAATAAAACATTGCAATATAAAACATTATAATATGAAAGGTACAATGAAATACATAATTAATGGAAAAATACGCGCGCGAACTCTCGAACAAATTGACGCAGGAAAAACACGTGAATATAAAATAACATAAGATAAAATAGAAGTATATAGGTATAGAAATATATTGGTTGCGAAAATTAAAGCCGTCTCGTGATTCTTTGCGATATTTCGTGTAATTAGCTGAAAATATCTTCAATTTTACGCGTCTCGTTTTATTGTTTTTTTTTTACACGAGTCAAATTATCGAATACATCACGTATCACTTTCTCCGGCGCAATAAAAGTTTCCAGTATATTATACGCAATTGTACCGCTCTTTCTCGGGAAACAAATACGAACAGGTGCCGTCGGATGGTAACTAGTTTCGATCGTGCCATCTCCTCCGTTTTTATTAAGGTGGTCGCTTGAGTTACTCTTCGTCGGCCGTACACCTGCCACTTTATTTTTCGATCGCTCCGACCGAATAACGATCTTTCCACGTCCGAAGCCGGCATCTCCCGAGACACCGGGTTTCTTGTGCACGCAAGCAGCCCGGAGCTGAAATTTCATCGATTTCGCTGCAATATTGTGAACCAAGAGGCGATCCGATTGCATCTTACTCTCGCTTCCTTTTTTTTCCGTACCGCGCAATCGATCGTATCGAATTTTTACGGATTTTACGGATATTACAGTTGTACGAAGCGTCTGTGAAAAGAGAGTTTAACAAGTTTAAAGTTCACATCGACTATTCGAATCAATTGGTCGATCCCGGACATTAACGGATAAATCGTCGTCAAGCTCGGCGACTTTAATCAACTTTTGAATTCGCACGTTCAGTTACTCTCGCAAATGAGCACGTCTAGCGCAATTACTCTCGTCGTTGCAGAATTCACGTCGGATAGCCATTAAAGCGCAGCAGCAAAAATATTATCCGCGAAACGATAAAAAAACGTTACAATGCCGTCGTGTTACAGAGATTGTCGTTTCTTTTTTTTTTCGATATATATTTTTATGCCTGTGATAAGATAGCGTAAATGCCTTGATTGACGTCTCTCTCTCTCTGTCTGTTCGCATTTGAAACGCGAGATTTTAATAACGTTTTGCAGCACGACGCAAAAGTGGTATCGCGCGCGCGACGTAATCTGCCATATTAAATCGCGGAGATTAGACGTCAGACTCTCGCCATTAATAGTCACAACGGCGATAATTATATTGACATTTTATCCCGAGACGGTAACGGCTTTCTATCCGACGGAGCGCGCGCTCCTCTCGGCCGTGCCGCGCGAGGCGATCGAGCGAGGACCGAGTGAGTATACGGAAAACGGTTTCTTCCCCTTCGAAAGCGATCATAACATAAGCGGTGAAATACGCCGTATAGCGATATCGCTTGCGCGGCGGTACTCGTACTCGCGACCGGCTATACGTATATTCGCCCACGAATCTTTGCGATTTAATAACCGTTTACACCGTCGTATCGGAACGAAGCGATCAGCGTGCGCGACGATGCATTCCATTTCTCGCGGGTTAATTAAGCGAGTTCTCTCTCTCGAGAAAGAGAGAGAGAGGCAGCGCGGACGCGGCTTTCCCACCGCGCGCGCGCGCGTACGATCGATAGTAAACCCTGCAGCTCTTACAATTGACTTACAATTCAAGCCAAATGTCGCGGAGCCTGTGACCGGCGACGGCGGCGGCGACGGGCGCTTTTCGTTCGTGCTTGGGAAATAAAGTACGCGCGCCTCGCGCGCGCGCACGTCCGCCTCCGGGGCGGACTAAATTTACGATGCGCGGCTCCTGCGGGCTGTCTGCGACCCACACTCACCGTCTGTGCAGCTGTGCGCTCTCGAAAAGATGACGTCGCGCCCGAGACGGACGAGAGAGGCGTCCTCGAGAAGAGACGCTAAAGCAAGACGGCCGCCGAGTGCCGTGCTGTCGTTGCTTCATCGTTTTTTTTTCGCTGTTATCCGTTTTTAAGTCCCTCCTTAATGTCCCTGAGACATACGTGTCCCGCATAATCTCTACGCGCCACAGGCACTTTGAATCACGTTTCTTAATTTAACGCGGAATTTCATAGCTCTCAATTCGCGAAGAGAATTAGGAGAAAAAAAATCTCGACGTCCCTGCAGCGCGCATCTCGCACGACGCGCCGCGTTTACCGCCTGCGTTCGCACGTTTCGCAGGCGAGAGACGTACGATCAGTCACTCCTAAGGAGAAGGCCACGACCCCGAGGTGTCCGTCGAGATATCGCACCTTCGGAAAAGTCAAGATGCACGTGGAGACGTTCAAATATCGTTTGTCAGTCAGAGACACCGCGAAATCGACCGAGAGATCGTTGATCTCGGCGAAGGACGAAGGAGAGAATTCAAAGTGTATGTGTGTATCTGCACGCGTTTGTGTGAACGCGATAAATAAAACTCCGCTAACGAGAGACGCGAATGAATCCTTTCCCCGTCGGTCTTCGCAGCGTGCTTATATAGTCGTTGCATTCGAGTCGAGTAAGACGTCTGTAAAAATATGTCTCCATCCTGCTGACGTCATTCCGCAGAGACGTGAAAGAGACTTAGAACACTATGAGCGGAAATGCGCTACTAGGAATATGCATTAACGAGATCTGCAGCGAGCCTCTCGAGACTGTTGTACCGATAATGTTCTCAACCTTCGGAAAATCTGAACATCATTTGACAAGATGTAAAAGACGGAGCCTGTTACGTTAAAAGTAATGTCGGCGTGTATACACATAGCGACGGATAACGTCGGAAGGATATGTTGCTAGAGAAGTAGTTATTATAGTAATTAAGAAGGAGGAAGCTCCCCCGTTAATGAATATAGAGATAGATAGGCTCCTGCAGGCCGTCGTGCGAGCGTGACAGATTAAGCCGCGTGATAGCGAGCCATCCTTAATCCCTTCATACGCCCCTTTTACGCCTCTTTTTTTTATTTTTTTTTTTTACATTTCCGTGCCCAACACCTCACGGAAACTGACGTATGAAATTATGTTCATACCATCCGACCGATAAGGTTACTCCGGTATTATACTTTGAGTTATGATAGAATCGCTCGATCGCTATGCAATGTTTATCCCGTGGCGCGACAATACGACTCTTCGCGTGAATACGCACGTGTGTGCATCCTCCTTCGGTTTACAGGCTTTTAAACGATATTTTTAGAGCACGATAAAATGTCACGCTTGATTCTTCGCTGATATTTAGCGCGTCGGAGGTCCCGTCAGGAGGAGATAAAACGAGATGATATATTTTCTGTTTACGTTTGAATATACAGCGAGGACTGGCAATATTTGCATACTACGTCCGTCGTCTCCCTACAGCTCTCTTTCTCGCGCGAAAGGTCAAAATCAAATCGCACGTGTATACCTATAACATTTCGAGCGATTGTTTTGACAGCGTTTTGCCTAGCAACTTTTGAAAGTCACAAAAGATTCCCGAGTGAGAATCACATTTGACGATCCTGGCGCGTCGATAATAAAGTAACCAAGTTAATTAATTCGAACGCAACAAACTAAATGAAACGTCTACGCGTACTCGACGAGGGGAAACGACCGTCTCTCTATATCTCGCGAAGATTTTCCAGCTCCTCTCTTCCCGCCCCCTCCGTCCTCTTGTCAGAAGGATGCGTTTTGTTCGAGAACATTTATTACACGCGCACACAATGAAAGCGCGCGAGATCGCGGCCACGCGATCGCGCGCGGGGATTTATTTTTGAATAATGCAGCGACGTTTATCATCCGCTATCGGCGGAGAAGGAGATCCGCCCATTGTATGCAACGCGCGGTAATTTCGTTCGGTGGAACTACTTCCCTTTTCTCTCTCGATGCGAGAGATCGCTCCGGGTGAGCCGTCGCCGTGCCGCGCCTTATCGGGGATCTATCGATCACCCGAGCCGTCATTATGGGATTATTTTAAAGTATTAGCGATTCCTTCCGTAATACATATGTTGATTTTAACGTAACGCGTAACGTAATATGTAAATACGTATAACGGGGGATACCGGTTAAATAGAATAATACCGTGTAACGGTGGAGGATAAAAATAAAGAACAATTCGCACTGTTTTCGGTGTTCATTCATATGTTTCGTTTTTTGTTTTTTGTTTTTTTTTTCGAAATGTGAAACGACAGCACGCGCGCGTTTGTACATAAAACGGACGCGCGGGATTGTTGCACGGTCGTTCGATATATCCTCTCGTTTGCATACGTCCACACATGGGCGTGGACCGCCGTTGTTTACGCATAGACGCCCAACGTCGACCGTGAGCGCCGGGAGCGCCGGGTGTTTTCCACCGGAAATCTGTTGGACAGACTTCGTGAGGCGGGAGGAGGGATGGGGGGGGAGGAGGGGATGGTGCCCTGCAAGAAAACCCCTCGATAAGGTGGGTGGGCAGGATTTACGCGCGGCTGCATCCAGGGGAGGCTGCTGGGAAGGAGATGCTAATCGGAATTGCCCTGTGTCGCGTCGCGAGTTCGCAAAACACGTATACATATACGAATTAATTCCGCCTTACACGCTGTATAATTAACGATACGAAAATCAACGTCTTGAAACGACCGGCGTGGGCGTTGCGTTACGGGAAAAATCCGGAGGAAGCGTCTCGCGCTGTGCCGCGTTGTTCGCCGCTGCACAGTCGCGTGATCGTGTCACCTTTTTGGTCGCATAAGCGTAACGGTTCTCGCTCATTGGCGTGCGCCGCGCTCG